TGCATGCCCATGTATGTGCACAGTTTCTCAATAGTGTATGTCTAGACTGGACCTTCTGGGGTGAAAGGTAACTTTACCTCTGATGTGTTCAACTTTACAAAGCATTGCAAAGCAATTATATTCCAAAATTATCCTGGATTGCTGAGATTTGGAAACAATATACAGATATATTGGCCAGGCACTTTAGGAGGCCGAGGCGGGCAGATCAGGAGGTCAGGAGATCAAGACCATCCTGGCCAACATGGTGAAACCCCGTCTGTACTAAACTACAAAAAATTAGCCAGACGTGGTGACATGCGCCTGTAGTCCTGGTTACTCGAGAGGCTGAGGCTGCAGTGAGCCGAAATCACAGCGCACCACTACACTCAAGCTTGGCGACAGAGTGAGACTCTATCTCAAAAAAACCACTTAAAGGCAGGAGGCGGATGTTGAGTGAGCCACGTACATACTACTGCACTCCAGACGGGGTGGTGGAGCGAGACTCTGACTAAAAAAAAAAAAAAAAAAAAGGAAAAAGTACTAGTGACTCTCCCTTACTGTTAAAAAATAAAGTAATAAACTACTTTTATTAAAGTACCTGTATCTTTATTTGTGAGACGTGTGCAGATTTTTCATTAAGTTTTTAATAGCAAATGAATACTTTGCCTAGAGGACGTAAAAATATTTAAATAACATTTAAAAATGTGTTTTGAAAAAGGTGAGTACAAAACCACCTTTTTAGGAGACTTTAGTAATATGGTAACACAAGGTTATTGGTATAATTGAAAATACACATATATTGCGACATAATTTGTCTGATATTTAGACATTCAAAAGTAGAATAATGCGCTAACACAGAGTTTCTCTAAGGCCAAAATATCTGTTAGGACAGTGCAATGAATCCTATAATCACAATTCAGTTCCCTACATATTCTATAGCTTATTATTATGCATACTGTCTAGCAACACCAGGTGACAGTTTCTAGTTATAGTCATATAGCTGACAATGAGGATATTTAGTATTCCGTCTTTAAAAGTTTCAGTCTAAAGATGTGGATTTTTATCTTGGCTCTGTTATTATAAATCATATAATGAGAGACGTTCAGAGAAGAAATACTTTGGCACGTACCGAACACCCTGGCTTGCACCTCTGCTTCCTTGTTTTAGCAGGTAGGTGAGCTAAGGCCAGAGTCAGCCCGCGTTGGGTGGGGTGCTGATGAAGAAACAACACACATGATAGTGAAGAAAGAAATCTCTCATAAATATTTCAAGAATGCTAGAAAAAGTCTTTAGAATTTTAGGAATGCCTTATTTAATTTAGAAATCCTGCCAGGTGAGGTGGCTGAAGCCTGTAATCCCAGTGGGAGGTCTGCGTGTACCCAGGAGCTCCTGAGGCTGCAGTAAGCAATGATCATGCCACTGCCCCCCAGCCTGGGTGGCAGGGCAAGACCCTGTCTCTTTAAAAAAAAAACAACAAGAAATTCTTGTAAATTTATGCTAGAAGACTAACTCTTAATTGACTTCCATGTCATAGCTACCTGCATGAGAAAGAGGCTTATTCCAAAAAGTTTTGCATAGTAGGCATCTCAGTCCCAGAAACTCCGTAAGGAACATACCTGAGAGGACACTACAGATAATACGTAAACCATTCAGTGTTTAAAATGAGTCCCCTCAACATTTTCAGGTAATTATTACATTGTTTTCTAATTCCTCATGTTGCTCTAGAGAAGTCTGGATTCATTTTGATTTCTTTGGCTTGTGACTTTTTTTTCCTTTTGAAACCTTTAAGATCTCTTTATATCCAAGGGAAACGTCTATTGAAGCCCGAGGAAAGGGAAGATAAGAAATTGCCCTTTTTCATTTCAATTCTGATATCACTGTTTGTTTGGCGTTTTGATCTTGTGGTAAGCATTGTGATTTCAAACTTGTAGTGAGCATTGTAGAGTCGCTCAGTTGCCTAAGAACTGCAAATGTGATTGTAGCCAATCTCTCTCTTCTGGGCTTCAATTTTCTAGGCCTTAAGAATAAGGATGAACCATATACCATCATATTCTTATGTGTGCTTATGTTATTTACCCTCTCAGATTATAATCTTTACATAATTGCTAATTATTCAACTTTGTACATCTTTCTGCAGGCCTATAAAACAATCTTTCCTAGCGCATTTTCACAAAGCAGACCTCTTTATTATACTATATATTCCGTTATATAAAAAACCTCTCCGGTAAGTCTACCACGTGGGGATAGACAGGCATTTAAAACATTTAATTCAGCCTAGGGTAAGCCACAGGGCCTGGCCCTATCCCGGTGCTTGGAGGGTCATCTCCGTGGGGGTGGCAGGCGAGGAGGAGTCACAGCAGGTGTGACTTGTCAGCACCTTCGCCTCCTAGCTCTGGGACTGTGCACCTCCTGTCTCTGACACCCTCCCAGCTAGCTCTGCATTTCCAATTGTCACCTATTTTTAAATGTCTAAATTAAATGCCATCTCTGGGGAGCCTCCTCTTATCTGTCCTGCCCCACTAATTGCTCTTCTTTTAAATTTATAATGGCATTTAATTTTTTTTTTTTTTTTGCCGTTAAGTTTATTTTTGTGAATGATTTTTCTCTTAGTAGCTTGTAATTTCTCTGAAAGCCAAACCTGACTCCTTTTCCTTTGATTTCTCTGTGCTATGTGGAAGAGTGTGTTGGGGATAGTAGGTGTTCAGGTGTTTTGGCTGTGCAGCCTGAACACACACAGATGTCTCTCTTCTTGCAGGGTTCCTCCCACAAGACAGAGCTGTATGCATTAGCTCACGTTTTGCCTAGGGGGCTCCTCATGATAGACTTCCTGTGAGTCCCCAGGAGGACCAGGATCTCTTGGGTGATGGTAGAGGTCTTACTGAGTTGCTGTGTGAAGGCAAATATTTTGGAATATTTGAGACTCAGAATTTGTGGAGTTCCAGGAAATACCCCATTCATTGTTGAGGAAGTCTTGATCTTTATAAGGACGGTTTACACTAATACCATTCTTTTCAAAGTACCAGAATGAGCTTATTTATTTTCATAAAGCAAATTGTAGAACACATGAGGTTTTCTGAAAGTCAAGTGTGGTCGTCTTAGTTCTTTGTTATCTGGCTTTTGTCATTTTACGACAGGCACAAGCTTTAGTTTAACATTTTTATTACACAGGAATAATAGAGTACATATATTGAGGTTTCATAGATGTAATTTTGTTAAATGTACATCACGGTAGATTTAAAAACGAGGGATTTATTTTGTCATTCATAAAGTTGTAATACAGTCTGGAGAAACTATTTGTTAAAAGATAGTGTCTATTTAACCTCGTTATTTGTTTCTTGTAGGAGAAGGTTAGATCCACAATAAATACATGAAGAAATAAGTAGATAGGGGAATTTATCTTAGAAATAAGATCCCCGTCATGGTTTTGAAATGTTAAATGCATGAAGACCCGTCAAAGAGATATACGGACATGATATTTTTTACAGTGCATTTCCAAGTATTTAGTTCTATTTGTCATTCTCTAGTACTGGTAAGCAATGATTGAATGACATAGTAATTTCAAAGTCAGTCCACATTAATGGGTGTAAATATAGTATCTCTTTACATATACAGATAAATTGGCAATTTTCATGTGAAGCATTTAACTTATATAGCAATTCTTAAATATTTAACTATTTTTATTTCTCTTGCATTTAAGAGCTAACTTTTTTTGCTCTCTAACTCTATTGCTCTGTAACTATATAGAATAAAAGAGAGATTTTTATAAAAGACAATTTTATAATTTGATTCATAGGAATTTGTGATACTCCGAGTGATGAATTTGTTAAGGTAATTCACATTTGCCTCAAGATGGCAAATTTAATTATTTGGATCCCGAGATTCTTTGCCAGCCCTTATAGGGCTAAGGAAATTTGTAAAAGCATGGTTAAAACCTCTGTGTGAAAGTATACACTCAGCATCTCCTTGCTCATATCATAATTGAAAACACAGATAATGTTAAACTCGTAGCTCTGATTGTATTAAAATGCTAAAATTCCCGATGGCCAGCCTGAGTTGCCAGACTCTGTCCTTTGTGGCATCTTGCTTATCAACTTGTTATAATGTTTTACTGTTGGTTATTGAGTTTTGCTCTGCTTTTGACTATTCATTATTCAGAATTAACCGGACAGCATTTTATTAGTTACAGGGATTGTTTTAAACTCATTTGTATTAGAAAAAAAGGTAATATTACCGACTATTTCACAAATGCAATTGAAAAGGGGCAGATCAAACAGAGGAAGTATTCAAGGTTTTGTTGATGATTCAGAGTTCCTTTTTTATTAAAGGTATTAAAAGGTCTTAAATGGTAAACCTGAAATATTATCTTGTATAAGTACTAATTTGTTATTTTCAGCATTTGTTTCATACTGGAAATAATTAAGGTTTATTTTTCTCAAAGACCGATTTTGTAAAAATGTATAGTTATGATCTAATTTTATGCTTACCAAAGGAGCCTTTTTATGTACCCACACGGTCACACAGAAGGACTCCTGGTTCAGGAAGCAGCTTTGGGGTTTGCCTTTTCTTCCCAGCAGCGTGGTGGTGCAGGCCGCCGGGTGCGTGCAGGAGAGGCCCTGCTCCAGCTGCACCAGCCGCACACCGGCAGACAGCAGGGCTTGTCTGAGTGCTTGAGTATGGATAGCATTTCATTTAGCCTTTGCTCTGACAGCCCATGCCCTGGATAAGTGGTGTAGGCCTGTACAGGTGAAATCTATTCTCACTTTTGCCTCAGGGGTGACTGGACTGTAACAGAATTTTTCAAACCCGTTGGGCCCAACCGCAAAGCAGAGAATAAATGGCTGAAGTGCCAGGCCTCGACAGAAAAATCAATGCCTGGTTATACAGACATGACAGACCAGGCCTGCAGTGCTCCTCGCAGAGCTGTGTGCGCGCTGCACCTCAGGGTTCACACACACGCTGCTGGGGCCTTCGGTGCTGGTGTGCAGGCCATGTTTACATTGTTTTCTCTCTCCTTCATGCAGGAAATTTACATGCCACTTATGTGATAGAAGTTTCACTGAGAAGTGGGCCCTGAACAACCACATGAAACTGCACACGGGAGAAAAGCCGTTTAAATGTACCTGGCCCACGTGCCATTACTCATTCCTCACAGCCTCCGCAATGAAAGACCACTACAGGACGCACACAGGTGTGCCAGGCCGCCTCCCTGTCCTAGGAGGCCGGGTGGAGGGAGAGGGGTGGACTGTGGGAGCAGAGGCGTTCATTAGCTCATCTTCAGAGTAATCAATGGAAATGGTGTCCTGCTTTGAGATTGTGGTAATTACATATTTATAGGTATGATATCATTTCATTATTTTTCAGTGAGAAGGTAATTTTAAAGTGACATTTGTGCTTGTGTGTGAATGTGTTTATATAAAATAAGTTTATATTTAGAAGCTCATTTATGGTGGATGTCTGTATACATATTTGTGTTTAATACATCTTTTTAGAAGATCTTTATAGAAGGTCATGTGCAGGGACTAAGTTTTCAAAGAGAACTATTCTTGTGTTTTGTTACTGATATAAACAAATTCCCATAATATGTTTGAATGTTATTGAATCTTGGTTTTATGTACCATTTTAAGAAATTGTTACCAAATTAATAGTTCTCTTCTGAGGAGGATACTATCAGATCCAAGAGATTTTGATAATCGATACAAAGACACTAATTTACATTTAGCTACTATAACTTTTTTGGAAAATTGTGTACTAAAAATGTTCAAATTCACTTACATTTCACATCAGAACATGTAACAGAGGGTGTGGAATTTAAGCGAATTCATAGATGAAGCAATACTGAGAGTCCATCTATGGCAGGCGTGGTCTGAGAACTCAGCTGGGGCCTTGTAAGTGTAAATCCCAGTAAGACCTTATTGTTAGGGCTGTGATTTCCT